CCAGGATCTCTTTGGGGAACTGGTCGTTCACGCTGAAGTCCGTTCCTTTCAGCTCTCTGCCGCGACTCTTCACCTGTTCCTTCTGTTTGAATTGACCGAATTTGGCCACAATAGGACGTGGTCTCCCGGTCCGCGACCTCACGCCCCCCAAGCGATGTACTCTATCGCTTGGGGGGCGTGAAGGAACCTTTTAAAAACAAGTGCGTCCATACTCACAGGTGTACACACGGGTGCTCATGTAACCCTGGTTAACATAGCTGTCAATAAATAAAAGCCTGTTAGTAAAAACAGTCATAAGAAATATATTACAGGTGATAAATAGTCAATAAATAGATCATAATGGTTAGAAAATTCATTAAAAACATCAGCAATGATATCATTCATGTTATAGGATTTCTTTTGTGTTTAAAAACATGTTAAAAGGGTGCAGAACTTGCTAATTCATGGTGTTTTATGTTAATTCAGGTAAAATGGCTAAAATATGTGTTGACTCTTATTGTGAAAGGGCACGCTGCAGCGTGACTCCTGTGATAGCCACACCCAATCGGGTTGTTCCTTCTTTTTGATGCTGGAGAGAGAGAAATGCAGACAGTCCTTGCAGAGCTGCTGCTTAAATGAGTGAAAAAATAGTAAAAACAAGCCAGAAATCTACATAAAGCCATTTTTGTACTCTGGAGAATGTATTTTTGTTTTTCCAACCTGTCCTTGCCTTGGTGACGTTGTAAACATAACCGAACAGGACTTGGTGAGTTCAGAAATTTTATTTGTATTGTTGTATTTTATTTCATGCAAGAAATGTTTTGTTGTATTATATTGCTCATTTCATGCAAATGGAGAGCCAAGGTAGCAGATTTGTTGTTTTATGTTAAAAACGGTGGATTCATCCTTAACCGACACACAGGCTGTACTTCAAAGGCCTTTGACGGTGTTTCAGCGCGCCATATTGGCGTCACCTCATTTACGGCTAAATAAGCTGGAAAAAACGGACTTTTACTGTTATTTAAGGGCTACCCGTGTGTTATTTTCGAATGTTTATGCACTTTATTTTGTTGCTATGGTAGGCCATTAAGGTTTGGATCGGGAAATGCCGAGCTAGAATCGGAGTTTGATCCGCTGAGCGAGAAACAAGATGGCGAGCCACCCACGGACCCATTGAACTGTACCGAGCAGGAAAAAAGGAAAACTCCCCCTGCTGGATGTTGAGCTCTTTCGCTGAAAAAACTGGTAGGAATAATTCATACACCTCTGCAAAAGAACAGCGGACTTTCAAAGCACTGGATAACCATTTGGAGTAATTCCAGGATTAATAGTTAAAGGACACAAAGAAAACTTTCTTTTGTTTCTTTGTTTGTTTGTTTGTTTGTTTAAGGGATTCATTCAGCCTTTTGCTGAATTGTTTTCAGTTTTACATTTATTTATTTATTTTTGTAATTTATTTTGGTCAACCTTACATTTTAATGCTGTAATGGTGTTAATGGAAATGTAAATAATTTTGTTGGGTTAAAACAAAATAAGAACTGGTTGAAATTTAAAGGTGAACCTAGACCAAGATTAAATTAAATCTTGGGCCTAAAGAACTGAACTTGATTTAAAATAACACAGTGTTAACTCAAGAATAGGATAAACTTGAACTTAGAACTTGAAATAAATAAGACAGTAACCTAGGTTGAAAATAACATCCTTCTAAAGCCAAATAAAAGGTTTTGAGATAAATAGGATGAACGAACAGAACATACTGAACTAAAAAGGGGAAAGAAAATATCTTGTTTTCCTTAAATGTGTGATGTTGAATGTGTTATGTAATGTGTCTATAACTGTCTATTCTGTCTTCACAAAATAACAAGCCGGCAATTTAAACGTATTTACTGGTCTGTGGTCTTTATTACATGCTACACTCATTACTGCTCTAGTAGTCGAACCTAACTGGTCCTAGTATACTGTAACGACTCCAGAAGTGTTACACTCACACACACACAAACTACACCCTTTTTGGCTCCTACCTCAAAGCACACTGTGCGCTGTCGATATTACGTGCTGCACAATAATGTTTAATATTTAGTATTTACTGTTATATTCCCATAGATCATCGTGATGTTTTTTATTGTATTGCTCTCGTTTTCTTCCGCTTGTTTTACTTTTTTCTTTCTCAACAGGTGATCCAGGTGATTGATATATGTATTTTTTTGTCTGCTTATTTAGTAATCTTGGTTTTTTTTGTTTTGTTTTTTCCCCCCCTCTTCCTTTCTTCCCTTTCCTCATTCAAGTCTGTCCCGTATCTAGCAAGTGGAAAAAAAACAAAAAAAACCCAATAAAAGATGAATCAAATAGACCATTACGGCAAGGCTGGGATGGTCAGTTTGGTAAAGTAAATCCGTTGGGCATCTTTCCTCACCTTTAGACAATAATTCTGATGGCAAAAGTACCAAACGGGACAGGCAGAAGAAGAAGGGGGGGGGAAACTATACCTGTAAGTGCAGCCTCAGGTGTGACGAGGAAGTCACCTGTGCCCCTCCCACAGGAGCCGGCATTTCTACTAAAGGAGACCACAGGTCAGTCAAACAGAAAGACCTGAGTCAAATGCTGAGCACTACCTCAGCAGCTGGAATTGTTCTCCGCACAAGAAGCTGTGGATGAAGACTGAGCTTCAGGACCTTGGACTGTGGCCTGGGTCTCGACCAGTGCGTCACGCAGGGAACGCGATTTCACTCTGGCGTCTCCCTCCACAGCCTGAGTTCATAGATACAGTGGCTGACCTTTCATCGCCAAATTTTTTTCCAGCTCCACCCCTTCTTTAGTTGGAAACCTGAGAGTGCTATCATGGTCAGGTTAAGAAACCATTATATCTTGCCATGTCTCCATGGTTGCTTTCGTTCACAAGTGGTCTCTGCTGGTGTGGGCAGGCCACGAGTACTTGTTGGCACCAGTGGTCAGTATAACATCCTCTCCTCACGACTCTGCAGCAGGGCTTGTCGCAGGAACTGGTTTGCTGACAATCCACGATGGCTAGAGAAACTGTCTAAAAGGTTTACCAACCTTCTCCCTGCTTTTCTTACATACAAAAAGGCCATCTGCAAGTCTGTTATGGATGAGCTCAGGAGGACTGGCAAACCTCCAGCAGACATGGCAAACCCAATAAATGAACTCATGCACCTCAAGTACAAGCGAGCTCACCTGGCGTACCTCCATGCCACAGGATCGGTCTGGGATTCTGAGGCAGGAGCTCATGGACAGAGGACCATTGGGCAGTTCCTGAGGAAGGAAAATAAGCCACAGGAGTTCAGGTCTTATGAAGACCCACATGCCTGGTGTGGCGTCTCTGTGTCCAGCCATTACCTGACAGACTGCCTGCTCGACGAATTCCGACGTCAACATCCAGCCATATCCAAACTCCTCCCGGGCACTTTTGGCCACATCTTCAGGTCTGACCACACCAGGAAGGCGGCACGAAAAGTCACACTGGCATCTGGGGTCATGTCCAGTTATTCCATAATGAATGAAAACTGGCTGATTGTTTCGTGGGTCATGGTTCAGTCTGAGACAGAAAGGTCCTTGGAGCCCATGTACCAGGGAATGGCCAAGAGGTACAGTGATGCAGGAGTGGAAAAGGCCGGCTACGACTGGGTGGACAGGTAAAAACCGTAATCATCCTTGTCATTCAAACTGCTAATCTGTCTGGACAAACTGAGTTTTTCCTTTTTAAGATCAATTTGATGCACACATATAATATTCCATATACTTACATGTATTTGTATTTCTTACATTTAGGGATTGCTGTGCTCCATTTAAGAACCCAGACTGTATCCCTGGTGAAAATCTATCGTGGGATGCCTGGAAAACTACTCCTGCTGTTATTGCTGTGGCCACATCTGGACCAGTGGCAAACAGCTGTGCCTCTCGAACCCACTACAATAAGAACATTATTGTAAAACTGAACCTGTTCCACTGCCTGAGGCGATTTTCGCGAGATTGCACCTCTGAGCATCATCTTCTGTTCAGCACTTTCTGCCAGCTTCTCTCTGCTGCATTCTCAGTGGTTGATCAGGCAGACCTGAAAAGGCTCCATGCTTATAAGTTCTGTGGCATCCATCCTGCTAATCCCACAAAGCAACACATACGGGAGCACTGCAGGATCCAAATACCACAACCCACTGAACTGCTGAACAGAGTGGAAAAGATCCTGAACCATTTTCACCTGGCCACAGACCCCAACAACCTCCCACTCTTCAAGCCAACCATGCTGAAGGCGTGGCGCGTTCAGAGAGTCCACATTCTGCGTGGCTGCCTCAGTGACCCTGAGCTCTCAGAGGGTGTAATGTTTCGGTACGGTGGGACTCTTCAGCTTAACCATGTCCCTGGTGAAGGTGCCAAGGTCCCCATCTGGATTCCTGTCCGAGGCACTTCACAGCAGGAGGGTTATCATTTCCACCAGGCCCAGTGGATCACCGGGACTCATGTATCCACTGAACTATTCCAGGCCCAGGGCATGACAGGTGTGGCACGATGGAACTACCAAAGACTGGTGGACCGTAAGCAGCCAGGTGTCATTCTCCCTTCTGTTTTTGATCCAGCTCTAGTGGACTGGTCAGGAGAAGTACCCTGCACTTCACCTCTCTGACAGAGACACTGGTGAGCGATTTGGGCTTGAATACAGAGAGCCAGGCTGCCGTCCAGTCACTCTGAACTGGGACAAACACAAAACCCTGAGAAAAGATGAACCGGCTGCCCTTCAGCCCCCATCCTCTGTTCCAAAACCTGTGGCTGCCCAACTTCAGGTTCCAGCAGTGGGACCCTCCTCCAGCCTGGCACCGCTAGGTGTGGCATCCCTCGCACCAGCACCACCTGTCACCCACCCTTTCTCTGGTGCTATTCCTATTGTTCCAACAAGGTGCATCAAAGTTATGCTGCTGAGGGAATCGGTAACCCTAAAATGCCCTTTGAAGAATTTGCTCAGACAGAATTTTTCCAGAGGGAACCGGATGCTACCAAGAAGAGGGAGAAGAGAAGGATGGAGGAAAAGCAGATTCAGCCACAGGGACCTGAAACAGGGACCAAATAGTCCACACATTCATACGGGCTTCGCTGGAGTGGCAGGAAAACTATATTTGCTGCCCTTTGAAAGTGTACTCTATACAGAGACAAAGGCGTGGACAAGGAAATGACCTGGAAGGAGTTTCAGGAGTCTGCTTTCTATGAGGCAGGGCGACTTAGATGGAAGGAAAAAAGGAAAAGAAATGAGGAAGAAACAATTGATATTGTATATAAGACAGTTTTGTTCTAGCTGTGAGTGTCTGCCTGTGTCCTTTCCAGTCAAAACAAAAAATAAATTTGCGGGTTGAATAAAAGTAACTTTAAGACAAAATTTGCCAGGGGTATGGATAATTACAGGCTTAACTGTGTATATATTGTTATATAGTGTGTGGGGGGGGAAAAAAAGGAAAGAAAAACAGGTGCTGCATTGGCGGGGAATCGAACCCGGGCCTCCCGCGTGGCAGGCGAGAATTCTGCCACTGAACCACCACTGCATGCTGCAGCACCCTTTGCACAGAAGACAGAGGACGGTCCCACAGCCCAGTAGCACATTTAGGATTGTTGGCTACAAAACACTTCACTGTGAGCTGCGTGAGAGTGCGTCAGCTACTATGTTGTCAGTATCTTTCTTATGCTTAATCACAAGATTATAATCCTGTGCCAGCAGTGCCCAGTGCATCGGTCGTTGGTTATCATTGTACATTCGGTGAAGAAAAACGACAGGATTGTGGTCTGTGAGTACAGTTACCAGAGAGGAGCTGGAGCCAACATGCACTGCAACATGCTGCAGGGCGAGAAGCAGAGCTTGTGCTTCCTTCTCTATAGTAGAATAGTTCTGCTGATGGCATTTCAACTTGATATAGAAAAAACAGGATGGCACACGCACGCCTCATCATCCCGCAATAACACAGCACCAGCTCCAGTGGCACTAGCATCAACATTGAGCTTGAAAGGTTGAGAGAATCAAGAGCCGCTAAGACAGGGGCGCTGCAGTGGAAGGAATTTGCTGACTCGAACGCATGCTGGAACTGCATGCTGTGTTACATAACTGCACCACATCTGCTTTCATTGCTGGCCAAAAGAAATGTTCCAATATGCGGTCATATGTCTTGTAACACCCAAATGACCGGACTATGAATGTTCATGTGCTAACCGTAGCACCTGCTGGTGAAAATTGGAAACACTATCTGCTGAACTGTACTTGTCTCCTGACATTGGACTCCACCTGTGTATCAACAAACCGTCAGAAGCCAAACATTTTTGCTACTTACCCCCCTTTGTACCATCATCTTCAGGCGCAGCGGTAAGACATTTGGCTAATGATGGGTAAGTGGAGGGATTCTCAGATTCGGTAGCTGGCTCAACCACACTTTGCGCCTGCTCTTAGGCACCATTAGCTACTTTATCAACAATACTTCAGGGCTAACAATACCAATAAAAGAGAGACATCTAACACACACTCCAAAGGAAGGGGGAAACATATACCCTTGGGGCTAAACAATGAATAACAATACCATGGAACCTCTCCTCAGTCCTACCTACCCTCGAATGCTAGCCTACCTAGCTTCTGGAGTGTACCAGGCTCGAGGCAACTTTAAAGGCGAACCTTCAGTGCTCAAAGCACTGAAAAGCCTACCCCCGACAGGGACCTAATCCCCACCCGGGATTACTCCGAAAATAAAAAAGGCAAAATAAAGAACGAGTGTCTGAAGGAAGAGATTACACTCAGCTAGACACTCACCTGCGCTAACTGGGGAGAGAGTCCCAAATACACCAGAGTTAAGCAAGCAACCCGAGAACAACATACAGACACCAAAACTCATACAAAGCTGTTTCAATTCCTTTCACTGAGATCCTGGACGAACCCCCACATTGTTACGTCCCCACAAATAAGGTCTCAGCAAAGACGTGGGGAACAGTAACAAATAGAACCGGGAAAGAATGAGAAGGGAGCCAAACAGAGCAGTATGGCAAATATTACGTTTTTATTACAAACAATCCTAACACAAAGAGATGGCAACACTGCTTTATCAATAAGATAGAAAGAAAAAAGGTCACAACTAAGTCTTATGTGTCTAAAGGAGGATGAACAAACAAACAACAAAGAAAAATGCACTTCTGGAGCCCACAGGCCCACCCTAACCATTACTAGCAACACACACCTTACTGCTGCTGAGGCCCACAAGCCCACGCTACCAATGTAGCAACCTCCCCACTGCTTTCACAACTCCATACTGCAGCAAGGACAACCACACCATAGGACCTCTTCATTCAATAGAAAGCAGTGCAAAGATGAAGAGAAAAAAAACCCAAAACCACACAGTTCTTCCCCAGCCCTATATAACATCTGAGAGTTAATTGCTGACTGGGTCCTGGTGCCAAATGAGGGAGTGAGCAGCAGCTCTGTCGTGGAGAGAGGGCAGAGAGAAAAAGAGACAGAGAGGGGTGGAGCTAGAGAGGAGGAGGGGGAGAGAGAGAGCAACGCCACACCCACACACTCCCACAGCCTCACAGGATGTAACACCAGCCTACTTGGAGTTACTGAGTTGAATTTAAAAAGGATTGTTTGCTGTAGGAATTTCTGCAGTGGCCAGGAATCAAACACAGGCCTCCTGCATGGGAGGCTGGGATTGTTTAGCTCAACAGGTCTAAACAGTTTCCCATTCATTCTCTATGGTAGTGCTAAACTACGGATTTAATATATTATTCACCACTGTGACCCTTCCGGCGCTGTTGCGAGTTTGAGACCTGGCAGTTTTAAACAATTTCCACTTTTAAATTTCAGGAAAAAAGACAAGTTATGCACCACTTGCAACAGATCTCAGCGATCCTTGTTCATTCGTCAAAGGTAATAAACGTTGTTTAAAATAAGAGTAAACCAATAGATTAAAAATTGCAGGTGTATTTTAAAGGTAAGAGAAGTGTTCACTGTGATTTCATTTACTTGATTAGTGTAAGAAAACGTCCATCACTTGGTTAAAGACGGTTACATTTTATCAGCTGTGATAAAAAGGCATGGTAAATTATGAACTATTCTGTCTTGATGTATGCTCAATCATCCCAGAAAGTAAATTCCAAAAAGTTGATTCTGTACATCTGGACGTAGTGTTTTCAGTGGGAGAAACGTTTCGTCACTCATCCAAATGACTTCTTTAGTCTCAGCTGGATGCAGGTTTCCCCAAACTTCTAAACAGTACATTTGCACACAGACTGAAACTAGTCCACTAAATAAACAATGGGCTGTGAGGCCAGTTTCATTATCATTAATATGCAAATTGTCATGACCATTGATGATTGTATGTCAAGATTCACAAGAAAGTTGTATTCTACTCAGGGAAAATCTGTGGCGTTCCACAAGGAGCCACTTCAATACCTTCTCCAGGACCCATCGGATGAAGATACAAGGATTAAAAATGAGCTTCAGGACAAGTCTGCACCTGTGAAGCAGGACCTAGTGTACTGATCTCAACAGCTTGCTGCACCGCACATCCAAGCTACACATATCCCGTTATGTGAAACACTTGGCTAAGCTTCTAAACACTTCTTTGAACACAAGCCCAGAAAAACTTCTGCAGACTCAGCAACTGTGGCACTCTTTAACAGAAGGGAGTGAGACAACCAGTATTCCTGTGGTCACCATGGAGCCAGCTTACTTAAACCCACCTCCTCCTGCCCTGTCTACACCTCTGACACAAGACTCAATAGAGAAGATGGTGGAACACATCTTAGAGAATCAACAGCAGGAGCAACCTGAGGAAGGAAGGCAGAAAGATTTGTCTTGCCTGTGGACAGCCCAAGTCCCAGTATGAGACAGATGGATCTTCCATCCACTATTTTTTTTTACCATCGAGGGCCTGTGCCGTATTTCTATTGTTCAAAGAAGATACATCAAAGTTATGCTGCTGAGGGAATCAGTAACCCTAAAATGCCCTTTGAAGAATTTGTTCAGACAGAATTTTTCCAGAGGGAACCGGACGCTACCTCTGCAGATTCAGCCACAGGGACCAAATAGTCCACACATTCATACAGGCTTCCCTGAAGTGGCAGGAAAACTATATTTGCTGCCCTTTGAAAGTGTACTCTATACAGAGACAAAGGCATGGACAAAGAAATGACCTGGAAGGAGTTTCAGGAGTCTGCTTTCTATGAGGCAGAGAGACTTAGATGGATGGAAGAAAAAAAACTAATGAGGAAGAAACAGTTGATATTGTAGACAGTTTTGTTCTAGTTGTGAGTGTCTGCCTGTGTCCTTTCCAGTCAAAACAAAAAATAAATTTGCGGGTTGAATAAAAGTAACTTTAAGACAAAATTTGCCAGGGGTATGGATAATTACAGACTTAACTGTGTATATATTGTTATATAGTGTGTGTGTGTGTGTGTGAAAAAAAAGGGAACAAAAGTAGGTGTTGCATTGGCCGGGAATCGAACCCGGGCCTCCCGCGTGGCAGGCGAGAATTCTACCACTGAACCACCAATGCACGCTGCAGCACCCTTTGCACAGAAGACAGAGGACGGTCCCACAGCCCAGTAGCACATTTAGGATTGTTGGCTACAAAACACTTCACTATGAGCTGCGTGAGAGTGCGTCAGCTACTATGTTGTCAGTCTCTTTCTTATGCTTAATCACAAGATTATAATCCTGTGCCAGCAGTGCCCAGTCGTTGGTTATCATTGTACATTCGGTGAAGAAAAACGACAGGATTGTGGTCTGTGAGTACAGTAACCAGAGAGGAGCTGGAGCCAACATGCACTGCAAAATGCTGCAGGGCAAGAAGCAGAGCTTGTGCTTCCTTCTCTACAGTAGAATAGTTCTGCTGATGGCATTTCAACTTGATATAGAAAAAACAAGACAGGATGACACACGCACGCCTCATCATCCTGCAATAACACAACATCAGCTCCAGTGGCACTAGCATCAACATCTAGCTTGAAAGGTTGAGAGAATCAGGAGCCGCTAAGACAGGGGCGCTGCAGTGGAAGGAATTTGCTCACTCGAATGCATGCTGGCACTCTACAATTGTACCTTTGGGCTACATAACCTGGTTAAAAGAACCACATTGGCAGAGAAGTTTTTACAGAAACACCGGTAATATCATACCGAGGAACTGCTTTAGCTCCTGCCTGGTGGTCGGAGTCGGATAGTTCAAGACTACGACAATCTTTGCCTGTCCAAAACCAACCTGCTTACCTAGGTACGTTACTGTTGCCTTGCCAAACTCTTATTTTTTTAATGTGAACACCTGTCACCTTCTTCACTATAAAATAGGGGCCCAAGAGCAGAACCAGGGACGGACCCCAGGCTGAAATTGCCTTTTTAGTGCTTTACTATCAAACCATTTCTTCGTGTTAACCTGGGATACACAGAGAGCCTCTTTTGCTAACAACATAGCACGTTGCCTTCGATCCCTACACATCTTCACAAAACTCAGCAATAGGGCTGGGCCACATTATACCGTTCACGGTAATACTAGCATAACGTTAGGCAACGATAAGAAAATGAAATATCGCAATAGAATATGGGTAAAATGCGCAGTGCCTTTGTTTTTATATGCTCATACGCACATGGCAGAAAAAGTATGGCGGCGATGGACAATGACATGGACAAAAGCGCATCTTTGAATGAAACGGGTGAAGCAGAATTGGTCAGTAAAAATGGTGCAACTTCAGTGGTGTGGAAGTGGTTTGGTTTTCGTCCATCCGATACCCACCAAAGCACAATTTTTTCGTAGAACATGCAAGCGGGCCGTCGCGGCGAAGAGAGGAAACACTACAAACCTATTTCATCATTTGAAGCAGAAGCACTTGGAGTACAAAAAAGCTGTTAAGGCCCAGGTTTGATTCCCGGCCAATGCAGTCTCATTTTCTATAGTTGCACACGTCTCATGACACAAAGAAAAGAAGAAGAAAATTAGACTGCATTGGCCGGGAATCGAACCCGGCCTCTGCCTTTGTAAATGGAGGGACTGTAACTGCGTGTGTATGTAAGCGTCTAAAACCTGCAGATAGTCAGATTAACAGTATTTTGTCTCTATCTGCTATTCTGCAATTCATCTCATGTAAACAATAACGTGGCGCACAGCGTGACGTGAAAAAAGGCACATACCTTTGACATTGCTTGACGAACTCTGTTTTTAAAAAATCTCGTTTACATGTGGACGAAACAGCAGCGTTTTCAAAAATACCCGTGTAGGTGTGGACGTAGCGTAAAAGAGTTTGTAGTTTATTTTCTTACTACCTGTAATTTACTGCAGATTACTTGTATTTGCTTAATTGTTTGCTAAATGTTTGAGGTGTGAAATTAACCGCAATGGAGCAAAATATAGGTGTGTGTGGTTGGAGGATGTGTTTGTGCGTGGGGGCGCGAACATTTTTCTTGTAAAACAAAGGGGGGCCCAGCAAAAAACGTTTGGGAACCACTGTGTTAATGTAACACAAGCTTTGTCCCAATCAGAACTCGAACCCACACTCAGACAGTTACATGTAAGTAATCAGGTGATTTTTCACTGGCTAAAAATGTGCGATTGGATTGACTGGTGCTGTTTGATTTGCGGTTTGAGCAGGAAGTCGAGGAGCCCATTTATGTGAAAATGTAAATGACCATTTCTGAATGGAGGAGGGGTTCTAAGAGTACATCGTTCACCATCTTATAATGCTGTGATTGGAGCCATTGTTCAACTCCCTGTGAATGGTACTATAGCCATTGATCAATGATCATGATAATTTGCATATTAATGATTATGACACTGACCTGCTGGCCCATTGTTGGTCAATGGTGCTAGCATGGGTGATCCACTGAAAACAGAAAGTTATGATTCTATAACAGATTTACACATATATAATAAAAAAAGGGAAGAAAAATAAGTGTTGCATTGGCCGGGAATCGAACCCGGGCCTCCCGCGTGGCAGGCGAGAATTCTACCACTGAACCACCAATGCCTGTTGCAGAAACTTCTCCACTGAAAACACATGATGGCCCCACAGGCCACTAGCGCATTTAGCATTGTTTTCAGGCCCATATGTGACGAGCAAGGGTGGATCTGACTGTGAAACTAAAATTGGCCAACTACACAGTCAGCCACTTAAGCACACAAGAAAGATGGTGGCCCCTCTGCTTGTCTCTAAATCAGTACAGATCAATGTTTGATTGTCTGCCAATGACAAAAAGTTTAGTTTAAAAAACAAAAGAGTAAACACCACAGTCCCATTCCTCAATGAAAGTAACAGTTCCACGGCAACAAGAACAACAACAAAAACTCTCTCAATACACGTTTGAGAGAAAGGTATGAAAACGACAAAACACTCTGATACTGAGTAAAAGACAAAGAAACAAGAAAAAAAGTTAAAGTCTGGAGAAAAACACAAGAAATATGGCAGCTCCTCTGCTTATCTGTAAATCAGTATAGGTCAATGTTTGTTTTTTTTTGTGTGTGAGATGAGAGATGCTGACCTGTGTACAGACTCATCTTTGCCATGTTGTTCTCTAACAGCTTCGCCCAATGAGACGCCGTCCTCGCCACATATAGACCTAAATGCAGAGAGCACGCTGTCTCCAACACCACTCTGTGCAGACACATAAATGAATACAGAGTTACACACAATACAATACCAAAAGCATCCACTACTTGTTATAATGATAGCCTGATAATATGTAATAATACAAATGAAATACCCTGTATTTATTTCTGACTTGACCTCTGTAGATTTTTTCTGCTAAATTACTGGAATCGGTCACTTGTTTTGAGTCACACTGGATAACAAAAATTGTCTGTATTTTAATTCTTGGGCATATCGTGTTTTAGAAAAAAGGATATCCATGGTATGCTTATGGTCATTAGCCAATGAGTGAGCCATTTCACAGAAAGACCCACCCATTGTTGTTTTGTCTAGTTTTTTTTTAAAAAACAAGACAGCAGAAATGCTTCAGTAATCAATGGATAACAATGTGGTAGCTACGTCTTTTATACTGTCTATATTAGGGATGTGTGCGACTAGTCAACAAACCCATCATTGATCTCACTAGTTGGCACCAGATGTAATAGTAATAGATGTAACTGCTGCTCCTACACATCGAAAGGAGTCAGCAGGTGTTGAACCTGACTGATCTAAGCTGCCCACCAGAGGACAGTGTGGCAAACAAGTGGTGGGTAGGGTGCAAGGGGTCACCTGTGATGGCCCTGGTTTTCCTGAGACTGAAGGAGCTGGCAATGGAAACAGAGAAACCATTGCTAACTGCATATTTCCTCAACCTTAAAAACAATATATTTGCATAATGACTGAAACTAGCACCACTGACAAACAATGGGCTTAGGCACCCTTCTCGATTCAGAGATGGTCTTCCCCTTTTTATGTAAATGGCCTACTTGACTTCCTGCTGAGAGGGGCTCAGTGGGGAGGGACTCTAGCAGCAAGGAGATGCTCCCCATCTGTTGACAACCAAGAGGTGCCTCTTAAGTTCTGTTCAGGTTGTCGGTCCCAGAAGGCACTGCACACAAAATTTTTTTTTTACTGTCTGCAGTTTTATCACTCTGTCAGGATGTGTTAGATGTACAGGTGACCACATCAGGTGTTCCCACTGTATTTCATTGTTGTGCCCCAATAAGCGTGTCTCCAACAAGCTGTATGATTGTACATGTTCCCATGTTACAATCAATAAAACAAGCACATTCTCAAATAGAGCTGTTCGATATAACGATATATATCGGATGACGATATAAAAACGTCTATCGTTTCATTTTACGCTATCGTTTGTTTCGTGATGTCGCAAAATAAACTAAACTGTTTACGGCGATATTTTTTCATCATTTTGATGGTCACTGTAGTGGCTATATTAATTTCTTAAAGTTCTCTCTTTCTCTTATATTTAATATAACCACACTACGGACGGACAAGTGCCTGTTTTTATGTGTTGTCGTTAACAACAACGACGGTAAAACCATCGCGCCACGTGTCCGCTTGTTTATTTTCCACATAAACCTTTCAGAATAAAGCTCAAGATCCTGTTGAGACTGTTCAAAATAAACTGAATCATGTGAAAGAGAATGCAGACTGTTTACGGATGAGAAGCAAAAAGGAGCCGTCAGGTGCTAAAAAATAAACCTTAGACTCAAACGTTAGAACAGGCTTTTCCCCGCAGCACACTGTGTAATAAATACTCACAAAGAAAACAGCGGCCATTACAACTTATGTCTAAAAATGTATCGTTTCATGCATCGGTTAAAACACTCGACTCCAGGTATACGACGCCAAGCTGGAAACATTTCACGCAGGTCGAGCTGCCCGAGATTCACAGAATTTACAGAAAATGTTACATTTTTGTGATTTATATCGTTATCGGACGATAGATGTCTTATATCGGGATATGGGATTTTGGTCATATCGCACAGCCCTATTCTCAAATAACTGCAAACTGTCTGTGGGCTCATTTTGAGCCAAGTTCAGGAAGATGTTACCTCTCAAGCGAACACACTGGGGGCGGGGACTCACCTACAGTTCTGCAGATGAGCCAGCTGTACAGCATCTCTCAAAGTTTGATTGCTGGCTAACAGATAAGTAGAATTTAAGGTGTGCTGTCCACAAGACAGTTAAAGAATTTAGAGCCCGTCTGAATGCCTACACATAAATAATAGAGAGGGGGATGAAAAGTGAGCCTTGCATTGGCCGGGAATCGAACCCGGGCCTCCCGCGTGGCAGGCGAGAATTCTACCACTGAACCACCAATGCTTGACACTGTGGCCTTTGCACAGAAAACAAATCATGGCCCCACAGCCAATTTCTGTGCCACAAAGAGCAAGCACATGCAAAAGTGACTTTAACCTGTATTCTATCCAAAGTTCACCACACTAGCTTTCAGTCCTATATAGTAAGTACAGAAGCAGTTTTAAACGTAGACATTCATAGCTGCTCTAAATACCCACACACGGAAGAAAAGAATTAGCCTTGCATTGGCCGGGAATCGAACCCGGGCCTCCCGCGTGGCAGGCGAGAATTCTACCACTGAACCACCAATGCTTGCTGCTATGACTTTTGCACAGGAAATGGAGGGCTTTCTGGGTCAGTCAGCATGTACTAAGCATTATGCTTTTTGAAATTTCCAGTGCCTTTAACACCATCAGGCTAATCCTACTGGGTGATAAGATGACAGCGGTGCACAGGGATGACACCATATTTCTTTCAGAAAAAGAAATATGGTGTCATATATTTTAAAGTTGCTATAGTTGCACACCTCTCATGACACAAAGAAAAGAAAATTAGGTGTTGCATTGGCCGGGAATCGAACCCGGGCCTCCCGCGTGGCAGGCGAGAATTCTACCACTGAACCACCAATGCGCACAGTAAGGGTTTTCGCACAACCGAATAAGAACCGATTGCCGCCCCCTTCCGCGATTCTTACACTATTTCAACACTCAGTAGACGGTAAAGATCAATGTTACATTTCCAGCAAACAGGAAAAACGGTGCATTCTACAATAGGCTTAGAGAATTTATACCTTTTATGAACGCATCCAAATACTTATTCATATTTATTTGATTCGAGAAAGTAGACGCATAATTTTTATGTCGCCTCTGACAAAGAAAAAGGAAGGTTGCATTGGCCGGGAATCGAACCCGGGCCTCCCGCGTGGCAGGCGAGAATTCTACCACTGAACCACCAATGCGCACATAGACAAGGATAATCAAGAATCAAGAAAAATTCTGTGACACATTCCAAGGGTTGAATTGCTTGTTTTTCTGGATTCAATATTTCTTCTAAATAGCTCAGAAGGGTGTGACAATTTCATATTTCATTTCGGAAAAAAATACGGGTCGCCGTATTTTGCAATTTAAGGTTCGCTTGTAGTGTATGCTAACATATAAAAAGCCTTCGCAAAGACCTTTAGTGCCGCCTAAACTTTTACAGCTTTTACAAGTTTTACAAGTTTAATGCGCAGAGATAATAATTAGCATTTGTACACGGTGGTATTGGGCCTCGTGCTTTATTAACCCTTGTAATTAATGCTTATTCATAATTAGCCTTGTTAATTAATGCTTTGCTAGCAGGTTGTACCGTGCACGCAGGTAAGACATGCTGTGCACGTGACTTCGTGCACAACACGCATTGAAGTTAAACGACCAACATGAAGGACGTTAAATAACACTCACCGCAGCGGTGGCTGCAGATTTAATGTGGCGACAATGCAGGAGGCAGCGCCGAGGAGACGGCAGCACCCGCCCTCTAGTCAGCCCGAGGAGCATTGTTTGCAAATGTCACCGACAGGTCACCGACGGCGAAACACAAACGCAGACTGCCGCTGACAACATAAAAGCTACTTCTAGCATACCGCTTCCGGGACTCTGTTTTCAAAATAAAACAAAACTCACTCTCTCTCTCTCTATAACCATCTAACTATATAATAAACTATGTAATATGAAATATGTATAGTCCAGGATGAAGCATTTGTAAAAGACTGAGTCATTTATAATGGAAAATAAATATCACTATATAATATTTTTGCAGCCATTTTTGGGAAGTTTTTTGTCGTTAGGGTAAAAACTGTTTTTTCAAGGATTTTCTAAGTGTTAACCTCCTGAGACCCGAACCACCAATGCTGACCTGGGACCTGAAAATGAGAGCCACATATAAGAATATTCGTTTGGAATTTCGATAGGACAGTAACAGTATAGTGTCCTCGTAAGTGGATATCAGGCCCTTGCAGAGCAAAATTTAGTATTTTGGTCTAAATAACCCAAAATGTGGTGTCCACATATGTGGACGCCAGGTCCTAGGAGGTTAAACAAAAAAAAGTTACAAATTAATAACAGATAGCGAAGATTGACTGTTACTGCAAGATTTTAACATGAGCTAAATAAAAACAATGTCCTTTTGTACTCGCTTGGTAAAGCGTGTTCTTTTATTCTGAAACCGTCAACGCGCATTTCCCGTCATGCCTGTATTCTATGCCAGTGCTAAATTACATCGCCCAAAGGGTCATCGCCGAAGGTACACTCTGCTGTGATTGGTTAATGGAGTCAGACCGCGAACAATGGCGTGTATTTTTGTAACTCTCTCTGCGACCAGAGGATGGCGCTCCGGGCCAAAGAAAAGAAGATGTTAGTGGTTGAGTAGGCTCATCAAAGTTACGTTTCGGGACTGTAGGGACGTTGCTGATAAGCAATAAGGGCTCATCCGGTCCATAGAAAGTAAGTTAACGAAATTAAATACGAAATTAAATAAATTCATGTTCCTGTTTGTTATGAAGCCTTTGTCGTGACGTGTTCTTGTTTGCGTTGCAGTTCAAGGTTCACACAGCTGTTTACAGCACTCAGATTAAAAGCAGCTCAAGCAGCGTATGATCATTTGCAGCCTTTTTATGAAACGACTGAAGTAAACAGTTCTTCGGTTGCTATCTGCTACATTTTGATTTTGTTTCCTTCAGATCCACCGATATGAGTTGGTTTGATTTGGCTGTGTGAACCGATTGTTTAGCAGAAATCTGCATTAACCCTGCGGTTCCCAAACTTTATTTCGCCACGGACCGGTCTATGTCCGACAGGAGTTTCATGGACCAGCCTTTAAGGTGTCGCGGATAAATACAACAAAATAAAACCAGTACCGGTACCAGAAAACAAGAAAATTTATTCATAACACATGGGAAAAGACCCAGGGAAACCAAGTTAACGATAAAAAATAAATATAAAACCCCTAAATTTCACACTCGAGCCTCAACTCTCGCGGCCCGCTACCAAACGACTCACGGGCCAGTACCGGTCCGTGGCCCGGGGACTGGGGACCGTTGCATTAACTTATGCGCCGATTTTACCGGGAGGACCGGACAGCTTGTGCGGACTCATAATTCATTCTCTCATGTATTTGCAGTGTTAAATGAAGGGGACGCAGCTTTAAAAATTAACTGTTTTAAAGACAATCTGGTGGTCACACATACTGATGTAATCAGATCCATAAAGTCAGGACTCACGTTTTGTTTCTATTTTTTTGTATCTTGTGTAAATGCGTAAGTACATCTTAAACATCTGTATCCTCTCCAAGAGGCCATGTACCCTGTAGACCTGCCATCTGTGGATCACAATGACCTGACATCTGCGTCTGAACAGTACATGTCCTCTCTGGAGTCCAGCCCCTGTGATAATGAGTGGTTTCAGTCATCGCAGACCTCAAAGGTACCTAACCACATTTGGGTGACTGATTATTATTGCAAATAATACAGGGAGTGCAGAATTATTAGGCAAGTTGTATTTTTGAGGAATAATTTTATTATTGAACAACAACCATGTTCTCAATGAACCCAAAAAACTCATTAATATCAAAGCTGAATGTTTTTGGAAGTAGTTTTTAGTTTGTTTTTAGTTTTAGCTATTTTAGGGGGATATCTGTGTGTGCAGGTGACTATTACTGTGCATAATTATTAGGCAACTTAACAAAAAACAAATATATACCCATTTCAATTATTTATTTTTACCAGTGAAACCAATATAACATCTCCACATTCACAAATATACATTTCTGACATTCAAAAACAAAACAAAAACAAATCAGCGACCAATATAGCCACCTTTCTTTGCAAGGACACTCAAAAGCCTGCCATCCATGGATTCTGTCAGTGTTTTGATCTGTTCACCATCAACATTGCGTGCAGCAGCAACCACAGCCTCCCAGACACTGTTCAGAGAGGTGTACTGTTTTCCCTCCTTGTAAATCTCACATTTGATGATGGACCACAGGTTCTCAATGGGGTTCAGATCAGGTGAACAAGGAGGCCATGTCATTAGTTTTTCTTCTTTTATACCCTTTCTTGCCAGCCACGCTGTGGAGTACTTGGACGCGTGTGATGGAGCATTGTCCTGCATGAAAATCATGTTTTTCTTGAAGGATGCAGACTTCTTCCTGTACCACTGCTTGAAGAAGGTGTCTTCCAGAAACTGGCAGTAGGACTGGGAGTTGAGCTTGACTCCATCCTCAACCCGAAAAGGCCCCACAAGCTCATCTTTGATGATACCAGCCCAAACCAGTACTCCACCTCCACCTTGCTGGCGTCTGAGTGGGACTGGAGCTCTCTGCCCTTTACCAATCCAGCCACGGGCCCATCCATCTGGCCCATCAAGACTCACTCTCATTTCATCAGTCCATAAAACCTTAGAAAAACCAGTCTTGAGATATTTCTTGGCCCAGTCTTGACGTTTCAGCTTGTGTGTCTTGTTCAGTGGTGGTCGTCTTTCAGCCTTTCTTACCTTGGCCATGTCTCTGAGTATTGCACACCTTGTGCTTTTGGGCACTCCAGTGATGTTGCAGCTCTGAAATATGGCCAAACTGGTGGCAAGTGGCATCTTGGCAGCTGCACGCTTGACTTTTCTCAGTTCATGGGCAGTTATTTGGCGCCTTGGTTTTTCCACACGCTTCTTGCGACCCTGTTGACTATTTTGAATGAAACGCTTGATTGTTCGATGATCACGCTTCAGAAGCTTTGCAATTTTGAGACTGCTGCATCCCTCTGCAAGATATCTCACTATTTTTGACTTTTCTGAGCCTGTCAAGTCCTTCTTTTGACCCATTTTGCCAAAGGAAAGGACGTTGCCTAATAATTATGCACACCTGATATAGGGTGTTGATGTCATTAGACCACACCCCTTCTCATTACAGAGATGCACATCACCTAATATGCTTAATTGGTAGTAGGCTTTCGAGCCTACACAGCTTGGAGTAAGACAACATGCATGAAGAGGATGATGTGGACAAAATACTCATTTGCCTAATAATTCTGCACTCCCTGTATATTCTTCAAGGTCTGCTGTAAATGAAATTACGTTTGCAGTTATTCACACGGACTTGTTTATTTAGTCTACAGTAAAATCTAGAAAAATCTCAGCTAACCATAAACAGCTTCACATTCTTAAATCAAGAGCCTAAACTCTTTTAGCATCCATATTATCCATTAACTGTGTTCTCCTAGTAACTCAAAATGTAACTTTATCGTCTACATTTCAAGTTATTTTCTCAAAACTTTGAGTTAGTAAGTGTAAACTTTGAAATCTTTTGTAGATGTAGGTTTCTTCCTGTTAAAAGGGGTTTTTTCCTTCCCTCTGTCACCAACTGCATGCTCATAAGGGATCGTCTCATTGTTCTCTGTATTATTGTCGCGTCTTTGCCTTACAATTTGAAGCGCCTTGAGGTGACTGTTGTGATTTGGCGCTATATAAATACAACAGAGTTGGATGTAATAACACCTAATCATGCATATGTTTTGGTATTGAAATACACAACAGATCTTTTAAAGCATTAAACTTAACTTGTTTTGGCGTGCAGATGCCCTGAATTAACTCTCTGTGTGGTTACTGTGACTCTCGAACGGGAACTATGGTGGAAGTGTTTTCACCACCTTACCAGCATTTGGCTTGATGTTATCTTCCTGTCTGCTCAGGTGGCAATAACAGCAACAAATGTGAGCCAGCTGCAGCTGTTTGAGGATGGCCAGCCTGCCTGCGCGGTGCTGGCACTGCACCCTTCAGATGATCAAACACAAGGTTTGGGTTCAGCACACTGCTCTGTGAGATGTTCCAGCCTCAGACACAGACTGACGCTCTCTGCTCTGATGTTACCTTCCAGTGGTCGGCCTATACCTGCACGGGAAGTGGTGGCTTTTGGATGACGTCTTGCGAACGTCAAGCAAATCCAGAAGTGGTTTGGTGTCGGTAACTGTGTTAAAGTACATTTGTCTAGACACTATGTCACTTCATGGCTCGTACACAGGTGTGAACAGTGAGAGAATAAATCAGTCTACTCATGACAAGAATCATCTCAAGATTGCATTGTAGGTGTGGTCGGTAGCAGCTTATGCAGCGGGTTTGCGGGAGAAACTCGGGAGAATTTTCTCCAACCACGTCATCTCAGTGTACTTCAGACTCAGCAATATGGTGACGTGCAAGATAAAAATAGTGGTCAACGACCCTCAGGACCACCTCTAGAGGTGACAGCCTTTAGAGGTGGTCCTGGAAAACGCATGAACCTATGTTATACTGGCTTTTGAAGCTTGCCATAGTTTTACAGGCTTCAGGTGTAAATTCACAGAAAAAGTCTGTTCTATCAATTTCTAAATGAAGATTTGCTGAATCGTTAATCTACCAGAGCCGACTGTCTGGAAACTTCTGCATGTTGTCCGCAGGTCCAGTCTGTTATGGAGAGGGTGATTGTATTTCTGCTCAGTCAGGTAATGGAGAGGCCTTCACTGTTCTCCCTGCATCCTCCCAAAGAGAGCTGCAAAGTGCTGTGGAAAGACAACCAGGCGGTCGGCTTTTACACCGTGAAGCACAAAGGTGGGCAGAGG